CTCATTTGTCACAAAAACGCGCGCGCACACTCTCACACACACACTGACACTCTCTCTCTCACACACACACACACACACTGACACTCTCTCTCACACACACACACACACACTGACACTCTTTCTCTCACACACACACTGACACTCTCTCTCTCACACACACACACTCTCTCTCTCTCTCTCTCTCACACACACACACACACACTCTCTCGTATGTTAGTAATGCGCTCCTGTCTGATGCTGTGTGTGTGTGTTTGTGCAGATCGCTCCATCAGGCCGCTGTTTCCCGCCGGATACTTCTACGACACACAGGTGTGACGCTCATGTGATCTCTCGTCGTCGTCTCTCGAGTCACTGCTTGTTGATATCTGGGCCCGTGTTTATCAAGCCTCTGAGAGTTACTCACAAGAACACTGCTAGGAATGGCCTTAAGAGTAAAAAAGCTGCCCTTAAAGTCAGATCTCAAGCATCTCAGTCGTAATTTAAACGAAGTGTAGGACTAAATCTGAAGTGTCCGTCTTCGAGAGGATTCACTGCTGTGCCACAAACAGGATTTTGGATGACGGCCGGCCTGGACCAATCACTGAATAGATTTCCTTATTTAAGAATATTCTCCGATAAATTCACTTTGAATGCTGACGTTCCTATAAGAGGAGTTTACATTCAGCACACATCTGACAATAAAGAATTTAAGAGAACACATCATGATATTCACATTGGAAATGAAAGATAAACTCGTTTTCCACCATGTCTTAATCACAGATTGTAAACCGGTGTGCTGTTAACTGAGCTGCCTCTATACAGCCTAGAGTTTATGATATAATCAGCCACCATGGATTCCAAAAGCAAACCGAACTGGTGCTGCTTCTTGCTGAATTAGTCGAACAGCGGAAACATGTTATAAAAGACAAGTTGAGGCCAACATTAAGTTTGAAAGCAGGAGTAAATTTCATGACTTCTCAGACAGGCCAGATGTGCTGTGAGGTTTTGAAACGCATCAGTCTTCATTAAAAAAAATGTCAAATGCTTTGTGCATGATAACTAGTGTATGTCATTTAGTATTCTAGTGTGAGTAGTGTTCACACAAATCCCAGCAGTAAGAAGTGCACTTATTTAACTGAAACTATGAATGCTGAAATGCTGGTAACAAAATAACCTTATACAATTGTTACAAAGTTCATAACCTTGCAGTTTGTTTCATGCCTTCCAGTCATAGACGCTAGAGTGCATGGTAATAGTGTCCAGTGTTTATTTTTAAAGAATATTATTAGTATTTTATAAAACATGGAATCCTCCTGTAGGTTGTTTACATTTTGCACAAAAATATGCATTTTGTTGCAGTGCTGCATCCTATCACAAATCCACCTGTGTAAACCATGTTTATTTTCCTTGTTTCCTTGTGTTATGTTTATTTATTGCTCTCGTTCACAGCATCTATATGTTGTTAGGGTTGTTCTGAAAGGCCTGAGCAAAGTCTGTCGTCAAAGTATCTCTGTATAATTGTCTTACACGACTGCGTTCCCAAACAGCAGCATCCGCCTCCGAAAGCATGGTGTTTCGTCTGCTCGCTCTGAGGCGCAAGTCATTTATCATACATGAAGATTATTATATTCAGTGGCTTCCCCTAGTTTTCTTAGTGATATTTTGTGCAAGTTTATCAGGAAGTGATGCTTTTGTTCTCTCGGACTCGTGGGATGGAAACGGTGCTATGTTTTAAGTGATATTTCAGTTTTGTGCACAAGTTTAATTCGCATCTTTGGATGGAAACCCAGCTAGTGTGAATCACTCGTGACTCTGGACTGACGCTCGTGTGTTTGTGCTGAAGGTGCTGTGCAACATCTTAGCCGCAGATGGAGTCAACGACCCTGACATTCTGGCCATCAATGGAGGTATGAGTGTCTCTGTCACAGGTGTGTGTGTGTGTGTGTGTGTGTCTGATCCTGTCGCTCGTTTCTCAGCGTCTGCGGCTCTGGCTCTGTCTGATATCCCCTGGAACGGACCCATCGGTGAGTGCAGCGTCACACTCTCACGAATGCAGCGAGTGTGTGTGTGTGAGTGTGTGTGACGCTGGCTGTGTTTCAGGAGCGGTGCGTGTGGGCCTCGTGGACGGAGAGTTCCTCATCAACCCCACGCGCTCAGAGATGAGCGGCAGCAAACTCAACCTGGTGATCGCCGGAGCCCCGTCCAGCCAAGTGGGTGAGTGTGAGCTCAGCAGCGCTCGGCGTTACCCATCATGCCCTGCTCTGACTCACTGTGTGTGTGTGTGTGTGTGTAGTAATGATGGAGGCGGCGGCGGAGAACGTCCTGCAGCAGGACTTCAGTCACGCGGTGAAGCTCGGCGTCAAGCACACGCAGCAGATCATCCTGGCCATCCAGCAGATGAGCAGAGACATGAAGATCAGCAAACGCTCTCCTGCCAGACTCTTCACCGCCTCCGCCGAGATGCTGGACTACACATGCCAGTGAGACTCCACACACACCACAACAAGACATACAACACGGGACGTTAACTGAGCTTCAGTATTCTGTGCCAAATATAGTGAAATATGAGCTGGGCTTGTGACTCATAATCCTGCGCTGTCTAAATGCATTCTTCTGACGCGCTGTTTGTTCCTCGTGACTTCTCTGTGTGAGAGTGTGATTGGCTGTTTTCTCCTCAGGTTGGCGTCTGATAAGATCTACGCTGTATTTACAGACTTCACACACGACAAGGTGCGTGTCAGCGTCACACCGGCACCCTGTGTCTGATCTCATGCGGTGTTACAGGAACAGTTCACCCAAAACTGAAGATGTGCTCACCCTCAGGCCGTCCCAGATCAGGATGAGTCTCAGCAATGGATGCTCTGCAGTGAATGGGTGCCGTCAGAATGAGAGTCCAAACAGCTGATAAAAACATCACAATAATCCACAAGTAATCCACAGCACTCCAGTCCATCAGTTAACATCTGGAGAAGACAAAAGCTGAAACTAATCCAGCATTAAGATGTTTTTAACTAAAATACATAGAGTCCATAATCCATAATAACGTGAAAAAGTGTTCTGGTGTGAATCGGGAGAGAAATCTGCACAGATCAAGCAGCGTTTAAACAGCTCTAAACACATATGTGGCTGGATTTTGATGTGAGAGACAACAGCAGATGCACTTTTTCACTGGAGGAAGAGTTATTATGGATTATGGACTCTATGTATTTTAGTTAAAAACATCTTAATGCTGGATTAGTTTCAGCTTTTGTCTTCTCCAGATGTTAACTGATGGACTGGAGTGCTGTGGATTACTTGTGGATTATTGTGATGTTTTTATCAGCTGTTTGGACTCTCATTCTGACGGCACCCATTCACTGCAGAGCATCCATTGCTGAGACACTGATGCAATGCTACATTTCTACAAACCTGATGAAGAAACAAACTCATCCTGATCTCGGATGAACTGAGGGTGAGCAGATCTTCAGTTTTGGGTGAACTGCTCCTTTAAGTGTGCGTGTTTTCCCAGATCTCCCGAGATGAAGCGATCAATAAGATCCGTCTGGAGGCGGAGGAGCACATCAGAGGTGCGTGGCGTTCATCAGCCGTTATGACCGTGTGTTTGCTCTGTGTGTAACGGTGCTGTGTGCCGTCTCTAGAGAGGTTCCCGCAGTCAGAGTCCTTCGAGGTGGTGGAGGCCTTCAACAGCGTCTCCAGAGAGGTCTTCAGGAATCTGGTTCTCAGTGAATACAGGCGGTAATTCACGCTCCGATGTTTGTGTTCTAGTGTTGTCAAAATACCGACTGCGACACCATTCGGTACTGAAACTTTAGAAACGTCCGTTTCCCGCTAATGAGCGACTGTCAGCGGATCCGTCGATGTGCAGATATATTAGAGAGAGATCCACTGACAGACGCAGCTGTGTAAGAATCTGCTCAACAGTAACACACACGTGTGCTGCGTCATGTGACAGGTGTGACGGCAGAGATCTGACGTCTCTGCGCAACATTTCCTGCGAGGTGGACGTCTTCAAGCCTCTCCACGGCTCGGCTCTCTTCCAGAGGGGGCAGACACAGGTCAGCACTGGCCCCATCTCTGTAGCACATCAGACTTGGATGCAGTTTTTATCTGATTTGTCCAGCGTTGTCTGCTGTGAATGTGTGTGCAGGTGCTGTGCTCCGTCACGTTTGACTCTCTGGAGTCCAGTATGAAATCAGACGCGATATCCACCGCGCTCAGGTCAGTAACACACTCAATCATCAGCTCATTTACTCTGAGCAATGAGAAATCACTCATTCAAAGCATGTTCCTGCTCTCACTGTGAACCAATCAACTCATATGTGATCAAGACAAAACTGTTTTCATAATCTCTCAGCAGCATGAAATAACTTGCTCCATCATTTGCTGTTTAGTTCATGTTGATGTAGGATAGTGTTGTAGGTAACTAGGGCAACCGGGGCCCCCTGGGCTAGAGGTTATGTTTGGGCCCCATACCTATACATTACAATGCCTTCAACTAGAACAGCATCATTATGGAGTAACACAAAATACACAAGCATTAAAATATGTTTTGAGGTTATATAGTAGGCTACATATACAGTACAATTAATATGCAACTTGTCTATCCCAAACAAAGTTTATATGTAATATTAAATAGTCACTATAATACGATAAACAAGATGTGTTCTCTCAGATTAAAACCCTGAAATAAAGCCAGAGATGTAGTAGTAGTATTATAAATATGTATTATCATATACTTATGTCAGGTTCTTAAATTTAATCAATCAATTCAATCCGAATAAAAAGACACGTTGGCTATTAACAATCAAATGAAATCACTATCAACAAAATCCATCGATGGATTGTGTTCAATTTAAACATAGCATTTTAATGTAGACTTCAAAAATGAAACAAGCTACTTTTTTAGAATATGTAACTACAGCCAGCAAAATCAATCTTAAATCAACCGATTCGTTTAAAATGCTAATTCATTGAGTTTGTCAAACGACTGCAGTGATAGAATCAGTTAGCGCTCTGTGCTGAGCAACTGGTCTGTTTTCTTTTTGACTGAGCAAAATTGAATTTTGTGTCTGTAAGTTACTCAGTAACATATAGTTTATTGTACATTTGCGATGGAAAAACAGGACTCTTGTTTGTGTGATAGGCTAACTCCTATATCATAGGCATATGTCATAAAAACAGAAGCTCATTCAACTCATTCCATTTTTTAAATCATTTTGATGACATTTCTGCCCCACTGTGTGTGATGTCAGGGAGACGAAGAGAGCTCTTCAGATCGCATCATTTAGTGGAACATTAATATAATATAGAATCATCCTCTGTAAAGAAATGTAAAACCCAATGGTAAGTCCAGCCATGTAGGTAACACTCTCTGATATTCCCTGGCTTTTCTACAATCTTGACAACACCGTGATTTATTTGCGGATTGATATTAATGTCATAAACATTACGGCAATGACATCACATGATGGCTGTGATGAAGCGTCGCCGTCGGTCTACGAGGAGATGCTGAAGATAAACACACACTTCATCCTGTTCCAGCAAAGGCTTTCCTCTCATTTCACTGGTCAGTTCATCTGAGCTGTGAGCTGTAAATCTTGACTAGTGAAGGTTTGACTGATGTGACGTTCGTTTTCTTCTAGTGGCGTCAAAGACAAGAACTTCATGCTGCACTATGAAGTGAGTGACGCTTTACTCTGCATGTTTAGCTCAGGCTGTACAGTTCACCTTCACTCACTGAGCGTTTCTTTAGTTTCCTCCGTATGCCACCAATGAGATCGGGAAGATGGGAGGAGCGAACCGGCGGGAGCTGGGTCACGGTGAGTGTGCTTCCTCTGTAAGACGCTCGTCTCCTTCCCCTCCGAGTCTCAGCGGTGTGTGTGCGTGTGTGTTCAGGAGCGCTGGCGGAGAAGGCGCTGAGGCCCGTCGTTCCTCCAGATTTCCCCTTCACCATCCGCGTCACGTCTGAGGTGCTGGAGTCCAACGGTGCGTCTCTCGCCGCTCTCAGCGTCTGAGGAGGATGACCCCTGAGCTCATGCTCTGTCTCTGCTCTGTGTGTCCACAGGCTCGTCCTCCATGGCCTCGGTGTGTGGCGGCAGTTTAGCGCTCATGGATGCAGGTATCGTCATATGACCGCAGTACTGTCCTGCTGCTGCCCTGTGCGGTTTGATTGAACAGGCCAATTAATTACAGCCTTACAGTAGTGTGCTTTAATAATAATAATAATACGTTTATTTTATATAGCACCTTTCTGCAAACCCAAGGTCACTTTACAATATCAAAACAGATAAACATGACAGCAGATAAACATCTGATCATACAGTCAGAGATCAGAGAAACAAGAAAGGACAATATATGTTTTAGGGTGGGTTTTGAAATCTTGTAATGAAGAAAGATCTCAAATGTGTTTGGGAATAGAATTGCAGAGTGTGGGGGCAGAGATACAAAACGCTCGTCCTCCAAACGACGCTAACCTGTGGCGTGGAATTAACAGCAGACCGGTATCTGAAGAGCGTAGTGTATGAATGAGATCAGAAATATACAGAGGCGAGACCATGACGTGCTTTGAAGGTGATGAGGAGTATCTTGTATTGAATTGGTAACCAATGAAGTCTGTGTAGAACCCTAGCTGCAGAGTTCTGGATATATTGGAGCTTATTTAATGTTGTGTTTGATAGACCTCAGAAAAGAGAATTACAGTAGTCGAGTCGAGAAGTAATGAAGGCATGAACCAGTGTCTCAGCATCACTGATATTTAAGAAGGGACGTAAGCGAGCGATATTACGGAGGTGAAAGAAGGCAGATTTAGTGAGAGAAGAAATGTGAGGAAGGAAGGAGAGAGAGGAGTCAAAGATTATACCCAGGATTTTAATGATAGTAGAAGGTCAAACCAAGATCCCAGCAATGTTAACATTGTCAGGACAGAAAGGAGCAACATTTTTTGGTGAACCGACAAGTAGTAGATCTGTTTATCAGTGTTGAGTTTGAGAAAGTTACTGGTCATCCAAGCATTTATATCATTAATACAAGCCGCTAAGGAGTTGGTGGGAAAAGGAGAGTTGTGTTGAGAACTGATATAGAGCTGGATGTCGTCTGCATTGCAATGGAAGTTGAGGCTATGATGACGGATAATGCTACCTAAAGAAAGCATGTAGATGATGAAGAGTAAAGGCCCGAGAACAGAACCCTGAGGAACACCGTGAGAGACAGGAGCAGTAGAGGACTTAGCCTGCCGCAAAGCAATGTAATGCTGCCGAATACCAAGAGCAGAGTCATGAGATGAGAACACTGCGAGAGATTGTGTCAAAAGCAGAGGAAAGATCGAACAGAATTAAAATGCTGATAGAGTCTGAGTCAGTGGCCATAAGGAGGTCAAACTTAATGAAACTTGTCAAAGAATTCAAAATGTCTTTTTTTTCTGAATCCTTCCTTGAAGCCTGTACAATAGTAAATCTAATTATTCTGATTGCCTGTGAACTTTATCCGCCATTCTAGTTTGTTAAAAAACCTAATGTCTAAACCTATCCTCATTCAGCTCATGTGTCAGGTGTTTGTGTGCAGGTGTGCCCATGTCCTCCGCTGTAGCCGGAGTCGCCATCGGCCTCATATCTAAAGCCCATCCTGAGAAAGCGTCAGAGATCCAGGACTACAGGCTGCTGACCGATATTCTGGTAGGTGCTCCAGCATCTGTTCCCTGAGCGTTAACCGAGCCGCGCGCTCATTCCTCTGCTCTCTAATCAAGGGAATAGAGGACTACAACGGAGACATGGACTTCAAGATGGCAGGCAGCAGTAAAGGGATCACGGCTCTGCAGGTAACACACTCTCCTGTGTGCCGTCTGTGTGTGTGTTCACTAGGGATGGAACGAATTATCAATATCTCAATATCATGATAGCAAAACTGTCTCGATATTATCGTGGTCACATGATGATATGAAACGATAGGTCTTCCGGGCAGAAATTGTAGTTTTTAAATATATATTTAAACTACTTATTCTAACATAAATGGTCTTTAAAGTTGTGTTTTGTGGCATTATGCTTTGGCACAGTATCTGTCAAACGAACTCAAACTGAAAGCACAATATGCTTCATCTCTTCATCAAGTCTGTTTCAAAGCGAAGCACACACTTGGTTCAGACGGCGTGCGTGTGTGTGTGTGTGTGTGTGCGAGTGGGTGTGTGTGTGTGTGTGATGAAGCTCTGCTCTTGCTCTCTGGCAGGTGTGACCATCTCTCAGGTGGATGAGGAGACGTTCTCTGTGTTTGCTCCGACGCCCGGCGCCATGAGTGAAGCGCAGGAGTTGATCCGAGCTGTCTGCAGAGATGATGTGAGTGTGATGATCAGCTGCTCTGATGATGTCCCGTGATCAGACTCTGATGCTTGTCTTCTGTTCTGCAGCAGGAGCAGCAGCTGGAGTTCGGAGCCGTGTACACAGCCACCGTCACAGAGATCAGGTGGAGTTTAGCCTCTCACAGGTCTCAGTGTTTATTGTTCGGATCGAGTTAAAGGCATAGTTCACCCAAAGATGAACACTTGCTGCTAATAAACTCGCTCTCAGGCCATCCAAGATGCAGCTGACTCCTAGTAAAGAAGATTTTTAGCTGAAACCTTCTCCTTGGTGATTCATAAAATGCAAGTCAGCAGCTACCTGTCTTTGAGAATAAAAAAGGCAACACAAAATTAATACCCGTGGCTGTTACATTTAGTCGTTTAGCAGACGCTTTTATCCAAAGAGACTTACAAACGAGGACAATGGAAGCAATCAAAATCATCAAAAGAGCAATGATACGCAAGTGCTATAACAAGTCTCAGTTAGCTTTAACGCAGTACACGTAGCAAAGTTTTTTTTTATTTTTTTATTATATAATAAAAAGAAAACAGATAGAATAGATAAAGAATAGAGCAAGCTAGTGTTAGAGGCCTTTTTTTTGCTTTTTGTTAATTGTATAATAAATAGAATACAAAATAATAGAAAAGGTAGTGTTGTGTTTGTTTTTTTAAGAAAACAAGCAGTTAGTTAAATGAATAGAGTGCAAGTCTAAAAGGGGCAAGTTTTTTGTTTTTTTGATGATATATTGAGGTCTTATGAAGCAAAACGATATGTCTGTGCAAGAAACCAAACATTATTTACAACATTATTACCTGTAATCCAGAGCTTCAGGCAAATGGGGAAATATGATTCTTTTTCAACAAAATGGTTATTTCAAACAGTTTGTTTTAATGTTCACTAGTTCATTTACGTAATCAGAGAACACGTGTGTAGCAGTATATTGGATGTGGGCAGCTCTTAAAGTGACAGCAGTCTAATATTCCTGCTTTCTCTCACTCATGTTCATCAAACAACACAAGAGAGAAAATCTCTCGCTGCTCTTGACTAAATCACTTTAATAACTTTAATAAGAAGAAATATATTTAATCAGCGGCGGACAGTAGCGAAGTATTTGTACTTGACTCGAGTAAATTAAAAAGTGTCTGTACTTTATCAGACTGTTTTTCTTTTACTTCAATACATTCCAAAGCATAATGTCGTAGTTTTTACTGCACTACGTTTCATAAATAATTTTTTTTGTTTTTGTTTTTTACATATAATACTTAAGAACATTAAAAATGTAGTACTTTCTTGTACTCAAGTAAAACTTTGAATTAATTTTACTTCAGTAAAAGTAAGAAAGTACTAGATTTCTAATGTGATTAAGTACTAAACGATATTTAACATGAAACGTAGTGCAGTAAAAAGTACAATATTATGCTTTTTGGAATGTAGTGAAGTAAAAGAAAAACAGTCTGATAAAGTACAGACACTTGAAAAGCAGCATAAAAATACTTCACTACTGTCCGCCTCTGTATTTAATTCACACAGTGAAGAATATGCAGTGTTTTTATACATTCGACTGCTTTATACAATGTATGTAGCATTTCTCATATGTGACCCTGGAGCACAAAAGCAGTGTTAAGTCGCTGGGGTATATTTGTAGCAATAGCCAACAATACATTGTATGGGTCAAAATTATCCATTTTTCTTTTATGCCAAAAATCATTAGGATATTAAGTAAAGATCATGTTCCATGAAGATATTTTGTAAATGTCCTACCATAAATATATCAAAACTTAATTTTTGATTAGTAATATGCATTGCTAAGAACTTCATTTGGACAACTTTAAAGATGATTTTCTCAATATTTAGATTTTTTTGCACCCGCAGATTCCAGGTTTTCAAATATTGTCCTATCCTAACAAACCATACATCAATGGAAAGCTTATTTATTCAGCTTTCAGATCATGCATAAATCTCAATTTCACAAAATTGACCCTTATGACTGGTTTTGTGCTCCAGGGTCACATTTATTTGTTCTACTGTAGCTTTTTTGGGCTGTTGCTTGTAATTAGTTTCTTATTCTTATTTAATCGCTGCCTGACTGTTTACTTGTCTTCAGTGAGCTTGAGTTTTGTTGTAGTGTTTAGTGTAGCTAGTAAAGCTAGTTTGTGTGTTCCAGGGACATCGGCGTGATGGTGAAGCTCTATCCCAACATGAGCGCTGTGCTCCTGCACAACTCCCAGCTGGACCACAAGCGGGTGAGCACCTGTCCTCCTGTCCTCTGACCCCGCTCGCTCAGCTTCTGAAGTGTGTGTGTGTGTTTCAGATCAAGCACCCCAGCGCTCTAGGACTGGAGGTCGGGCAGCAGATCCAGGTGCAGTGGGCAGCAGCCGCAGCGTGTGCTCTCTGAGCTCTGCGGGTTTCTTCACCGGTGTGTTTTGTACTCTCAGGTGAAGTATTTCGGCCGCGACCCCACGGATGGCAGGATGAGGCTGTCTCGTAAGGTGCTGCAATCTCCGGCGGCGGCGGCGGTGAGGAGTCTGAGCGACAGACACAGCATCTCTGTAGGAGCGTCCGGAGAGCAGAGCCCAGACTCATAGAGCGGCTCACCTGCGCCTTACTGAACACTCTGTATTTTATAATAAACGCTCTTATTACACACATTGTCCTCACTTGAGCTTTTGCATTACACCGTGTCCTAACTACACGCGACGCGATAAAAGGTATCTTTTCCATGTTAATCTAAGTTTTTGTCCTAACTAGCCGCGACGGTGACACGCAAAATTTCAATTTTAGGAACGGTTTCTATTTGCGCGACGCTGTGGCTGGAACAACAACATACAAACTATATGAAAGTACATAATCTCAGGTGATCATGTGCTTTATTCAAAGTTAAAAGTCTCTAATATGAGTTTAAATGTAATTTTGTGTGACCTTATGGCCATACTGAAAGCAACAATAGATAGTTTACCTCAGATTTTGAAAATAAAGCAAAGATGACCGTTACGAGTGTATTCCGTGTATTCCAACGAGTGTATTCCATGACAAAGATGTTATCAGTCATTCAGTATGTACATTTAATGATGTTAAAAAGCTTTAATATTTATGAATTATGAAACACACGCTTCTGATTGGCTTTGATATTTGGCTGCGTTTGGTGTGGACCATAGACTGTATTAAAACAGGTGTGGACACACAAATTGTTTGTCGCTGGAATCTTGTCGTGCCGCGTGTAGTTAGGACACGGTGTTACATGTTTGCGAAGGGTGCAAACCCCGGAGCATAACTATGGAACGCCAATCCTGCCATAATTAGAAATAAATGTACAAAGAAATGTAAAAAAGCAAATATAAATAAATCAATATAAATAAATATACAAAGAAAAGTAAAACAAAAATAAATAATTATTTATAATTTTATTAAGAAGTGTAGCCTACATGACGCGCCTGTTGATAGTGTGGGATTAATGATTTAGATGGGCAATATGGCCAAAATCTTATATCATGGGTTATTATTTCAATTTCACGTGGGGGGTTGTTTCGTCTGGGAAGCGTGTCAATCTGTGATCGCGTGCATTTGCTGAAGCTCACGAAAGCGTGCAATCGCTTTCTTATGCACGCTGTTTTTTTAGGTTTCACTTTCAACGCATACAAAATCTTGCCACATTAATCAAACATTGTGGTGTCAATACTCAATGAGTTACAACGCAATCAGAAATTTAAAAAAGAATTCCTTTACTGGTCATTTTGAAATGTCAAACTTTGTCCGCAATTGTTAACCACCTCAATCTGTATTATAGGGTTTTTAAAAAATTCCCTCATGTCCAAATTGAAGGGGGGTGGTCCGCTGCAGAAATAGGCATTTGAAAAGACTGCACTGTTCTCGGTCATCAGAGGTATGTGTATAAAACACACAACGTTTACCAGAGAGCTTCTCTTTTTTAACACACTGGATGGTGATACACTATATATATCTCGTTTTTGTTTTTAGTAGACATCCAAGCAAAAGAGAATGACTCCCTGTCACAATTAGTGTAATTAAAGTAAAAAATTATGTCAAGCTTTTCTTGTGCTTTATTTCTTTCTTATTTGGCAGATGCTGTGATGACCAGCTTCCCGAACCTCAAAGAGAGTGCCAGAAGGATGCTGGACAGGTAAAGCCTACAAATCTTGCCACATTAATCAAACATTGTGGTGTCAATACTCAATAAGTTACAACGCAAATCAGAATTTAAAAAAGAATTCCTTTACTGGTCATTTTGAAATGTCAAGCTTTGTCTGCAATTGTTAACCACCTCAATCTGTATTATATTTTAGGGTTTAAAAAAAATTCCCTCATGTCCAAATTCAACATGAAGGGGGGTGGTCCGCTGCAGAAAGAGGCATTTAAACAAGAAATAAAACCAATAATTAATAATTTCCTTTAAGTTCACTGTTGGTTGTTTTATTTGTTAAAAGTAAACCAACAAAAGGGTTCATCTTTTTTTTTTTATGTTGTCATTTATCCGTAATGTTTTAATGTTAAGTGTGATAACATCAGCTTGATTTGTATTAGATTTTTTTTCTTTTAAATATCTTAAGTTATTTAAAATATTTAATTTTTTTCATTTTTATTATCTTAAGTTGTTAAAAATTCCTGATTTTTTAAATCATAATATTTATATTTAAGTGTATTGTATTTATACAATTTTATTTAGTCATTAATTCTTTTGTATTTTTATCATTTTGTATTGTCTTAAGTTGTCAAAAATGTTATTTTTCTTAATAAAAGCTGTATATTGAATTTGTTTGTATGGATTGCCATGTTGTTGTCTATTAGACATATATATGTAGTGGTTTAATAGCGGGCTAATTGATGACTAGTCTATGCTTGGGCTATGATTAGAGTCTATTAGATGTTCACTGACAGCCCAGATTCAGCCTCGTTTTAGCCGAGACGTCTGGCCTGTGTTTAGACGGCTAATAGACATCTTTTAAACGCAAAATTGCTTGCTGGGTATTAAACTACATCTTATGAGTTTAAGTCAACCTCAGAATGATCTTAAAGAAGAGCTGCTAAAGACTGGTTTTTGTGGTGGCTGTGCTATAAAATTCAGTTATTATAATCTTAATTGAAGTGATGAAGAATTCTGAAAGTCTCCCTCAAATCACCGTAAGCATCTTCAGTTCGCGGTAACGGCGGTGTCCTGCGCGGCCGCCGTAGCCCCCGCGCGGAAACCCCGCGCCCTCAGAAGACGCACAAGATGGCGGCGATCGGCGGATAGACGAACATTCGCGTAAACACTCGAACCGTTCCGTGCTAATCTGAGCTATAACGAGACCTGAAGGCGGTTAAACATCCGAGCACCGTGCTGCTCGGATCGGTCGGGGTTGTGTGAGGTTCGGCTCAATCTGAGGGTTAATTAACTGCTTTCCTGAGTTTAAGATGACTGATAGGAGGTAGCGTCAGCTTTAGGTTTAACGTTAGTGTTGTGATATAAACGCTTGTCTTTCCAAGGGTCCGATCAGACCGGACTTAGGCTCCGGCTCGTTTAGTGTGGATTAGTCAGGGTTAGGATGAGCGGCGGCCGGCTGCGCGGATCTGAGGCGAGGCAGTGCTAGCTTTGTGCGTCAGGACTGCTAGTGCTGGTTCGGTTCGGTTCGGTTCGGTTCGTGCGGGAAAGATGAGCGACACCCGGCGGCGGGTGAAGGTGTACACGCTGAACGAGGAGCGGCAGTGGGAGGACCGGGGCACCGGGCATGTGTGCTGCTCGGAGCCGGACTCGCTGACGGTCACCGGCGAGGCTGACGGTAAGCGACGCGTCTGTCGGAGCTCCCGCTGTCGCGCAGCTCGTCTGATGCGGTGTGTTTTTGTTCTTCTGCAGGCTCTCTGCTGCTGGAGTCCAAGATCAACCCCGACACCGCGTATCAGAAGCAGCAGGTGAGTCCAGCAGCGCACTCCTTCGTTTACACAGCGCTCATAACAATGTGTGTGTGTAGTAATGCAAAAGCACAATAGTAAACTCTCAATCTCAGTTAAAGTCAGTTCATAAGCGTCCGTCTGGGGGTCGTGAGCGCGGTGGTTTTGTCTCCTCAGGACACGCTCATCGTCTGGTCCGAAGCGGAGAACTATGACCTGGCTCTGAGCTTCCAGGAGAAAGCAGGCTGTGATGAGATCTGGGAGAAGATCTGTCAGGTGGGTCCGGTGCTTCATTTGTAAATGAAACATTGTCGGATCCAAATCAGCAGTTAAAAGGCGCTGTGACCGACACTGACGACACGACTTCAGTTTCCCGGAACATTCAGTGACGTCACTAAACGGTGATGACGCAGCTATAAGAGCATGGTTCACGAGTTTCTGCATGCACCTGACTATTAACTATACAGCCTAGCTTTTCAAGCCCTGGGTCAAACATGGGTCGCCAGGATGATTGAAGGCAAATGTATGCAAGTTGCATTATAAATAACAAAAATTGTTTCCATAAAAATAAAATACAATCATAATCTATATAGAAAAGGTATACATATATCTGACATAAATAATTAACCGATATAAAACAGATGTGAGGTGCAGCGATCCTCAAACAAGTTGACGGAAAGGAAACCGAGAACCGAGATGACAGAACGCGCATCCTGTTTGTTTGCTTAATTACAAAAACACAAATGTTCTTTTTATTGTGAGTGTGCAAAAATAAAAGTAAATATTTAGTCATTTAGCAGACGCTTTTATCCAAAGAGACTTACAAATGAGGACAACTGAAGCCATCAGAATCAACAAAAGAGCAATGATACACAAGTGCTCAGCTTAATGTAGTAGACACGTAGCAAGTTTTTTTTTTTATTATATAGGCCTAATAAATAAAAAGAAAACAGATAGAATAGAAAAAGAATAGAGCAAGCTAGTGTTGAGGCCTTTTTTGCTTTTGTTAATTGCATAATAAATAAAAAGAAAATAAATAGATAGAATACAAAAAGAACAGAGAAACTAGTGTTTTGTTTTTTTTTTATACATTTTTTTAACACTTTGCGGGTTGTCTTACTCTTATCTGTAT